CTCCCTGTAATTTCGTGCGCTTGCTCCCGCTCATGTGCCCAAACGGCCACGCGCCCGCGCGACGCTCCTGCTCAGGCTCAAGATTGGCGTGTGCGAGGGCGTGCCGCGCTGCGTGATGCCGGACCACGCGGGGCGCGCGGATTACCACGGTGCCACGGTCAACCAGGCGGCGCGCTTCATGGACGCGGCCGCACACGGCGGGATGGTGCGGTTCCGGGGGGGATGGGGGTGGACGGGGGCGATAATGCGGGGTTGGGGCCTGGATGGCTGCCCAGCATGCAGCGCGCGTGTTGGCGCGTGCGAGTGCCCACCACAGCGACCCGCCCGGGCGGGACGATTCCCTGCCATGCGCGCCACGGCTTCCAGCCGTCGAGCGCCGCACCAGCCTGTGGGCCCTGCCCCATATTCCAGATGCCACCAGCACTGCGGCAGCCGCCGCCCCACCGGCCAGCCTCCCCCCGTCCGTGCCAGCCCAGAAGCGCCGCTTCCCCAGGACCCCGCAAACAAACTTCCCCAGCTCCCCGCACCCACGCACAACTTACACTCCTGCACCCGCGGATCCCTCAACCGACGGCGCCCTCCCTTCGTGGCGCGGCAGGTGGTCGCTGATGTAGACCTCCTGCGCCGCGTCTTCGCCACCTGGCGCGGCGACGCGGAGTCCGAAACGGTCGACGTGCCCGCGCACAGCGACGTCGCCCGCGCGGCCGCGGAGGTCGCGCGGCGGCTGTCCCCAGACGGCGACGCCGACGAGGGCGGCGGCGGAGGAGGGGGAGGAGGCGGAAACAGCGCCAACGGCAGCGGCGGCGGCTTCCTGGCACACCACGAGGTGGAGGCGGTTGCAGAGGAGGACGAAGCCGATTCGACGGCGGGGCCGGCGGAGGGCAGGGCCGCTGCTTTGCAGGCGCCAGCGGCGCCCGGGGCCCCCTCGTGGCCGGACGGCGCGCGCTCGGGCCGGCGCGCCTCGCGGCTTGGCGCGCCGTCGAGCCTGGTGTCCGGCGTCGCGCGCGCGATCGGCAGCGGAAGCGTCAGCGGTGGCGGCGGCAGCGGCGGCGCGGGCCCCGCTCGGCGCACGTCGAGCACCGCCGCAATGCTCGACCGCCTGATGCAGCGGCCGGGGGCTGGCGTGCTGGGGGCCGCGTTTGGCGCCGCGGGCGGCAGCGGCAGCAGCGGCGCTGCGCCCGGGGGCGGCCGCGCGGCGAGCGCGGTGCTCGCGCAGCAGCTGTCTGCGCGGTCGCCGGCGTCCCCGCTGGAGGCCGCGGCGATTGCCGAGCTCCAGGCAGCAGTAGCGGCCGAGCAGCAACAGCACCAGCGGCGGCAGCATCGGCAGCACCACCATCACCAGCAGCAGCACCAGCAGCGGGGCGGGAGCGCCACCTCGGACGGGCCGCCGGCGCTTGGCAGCCCTGTTTCAGGCGAGGGAGGCGCGGGCTGGCACGGCGTGGAGCCGTCGCCCCCCAGCAGCTGCGGCGGGGCCCCCGGCGCGGCGAGCAGCGACGGCGGGGGCGTGGCCGGGCTGGGGGCGTCCGTCCCTGTGGCGCACGTGCGGCCGCGGCTGCTGCAGACCTGTGAGCCCGCGATGTGCCCCGGCTTGTGCTCCTGGTGCCGTGCCGCTCATGACGTTGTGTTGGCTTGCATGTGCGCGAGATGAGCCTGGCATCACAAGCGACCAAACAAGCTTGGACCCACGGGCAGACACACACCCTATGGCACTGGCGCGCACGTGCACGCACGCACTGGCGCGCACACACACACAGCACACACACTCACTCATACACACACATGCACGCACGCGCGCACACACAAATGCGCACACACAGACACATACACACTCTCTCTCTTATATCCACACACACTTTCATCCCGCACATATACATACCCCAGGCGCCAGCAGGTTCCTCTGCCACGACGCCTTCCAGCTGGTCCCCACAGAAGTTCACGCCACGTACCTGGGAGACTGGCAGTTCAAGGGAACGGGCGTCATCCGCATGGGAGCCATTGCGGCCGTGCGGCTGGCGGGGCGGCCGTTCCCTCCCGGGCAGCCGCAGGGCAAGGTGGGCCCCGCGGCCCGTCAAGCGCGGCCTGCACCTCTTGCTCCGGCCGGTCCAGGCTGCCTCCTCCTGTGCGCCCGCGCCGCCTGCAACTGATTGGTCATCTGTCTGTGCGCAGCCCAGCCATCCCTCCACCTTTCCTGCATGGCTGACCCAAACACCCTCTTTTCAACCCGCGTCTGCCATCCTCTAGATGCACTCGCTGTCGGTTTTGCCACCGCTCATTTGCTCTCCTCACCCCGCGACAGGGGGCGTGCGTGTCGATCGGCGACGGCGCGCTGCTGGAGGCGGCCTCTGTCCCCATGCCCGACCTGGTGTCGCGCCTCCAGTCAGAGCACATCACCCACGACACCAGCCGGCACATACTGCTGCTCCCCTACGGATCCACGTCCACAAAGCTCGGAAGCGCGAGGAGGGAGGATTCTTTCTCCGGGGGCGCCTCGGCCCAGGCGAGCGCCGCCAACTTGGGCCACATGCAGCGCCTCGCCAGCCTGCTGCTCGGCCGTCGCGGCACGCCGACGGGCGGCGCGTGGGGCAGCGCGGGCGGCGGCAGCGGCGGCGTCGGCGGCGGCCGCATCGGAAGCCATTCGGATGCGGAGGGCGCGGCGCCGCCGGAGGGCCGCGCGCCAGGCAGCGGCGGCGGCCTGGGCGGCGGCGGCTTGGGGCGGCAGCCGGAAGTGCGGCGGGTCCACTCGGCGGCGCCGCGGCTGTACGCGCCGGGCGGGCCGTTTGGTATCGGCCGCGGCGGTCCGGCCGGCATTGATGCCATGGCATCGGCGGGCCACGTTGCTGTGGGGCAGGCGTGACGGCGCCCCCACCGGGATGCACGGGGTCTTGTCAGCTGCATGCAGCAGTTGGTGGATGCTCCTGAAATCCTTTAGCCTGTGCTTCTTCGCAAGCCATGGCTCATTGGGGCGCCACACAACGCATGATGTGGGGTTTGTGGACAGCCCGCTGGCACGGCATGATCCTGTGACCCAGCTTAGGCTGCCCCGCTGTTTCAGGCTGCTCCCCTGTCGGCTTCAGAATTGAGCAAGCTTGCCTTGAGCACAAACACTGATCAGGCGGCGCGGTGCGACGCCCCGCGAATCGCGGCCGGTATGACTGCCGGCCGTTAGCGCCTTTGGCTTTGAGTTGTTGAAGCAAATGCTGCCGAGTCAAGTAGAGTCGCCGGCTCTGTACAGTTGGGGCATCCTCACGCCTGTCGTGCATCCCGTTCCATGCGTCAATACACTTACAAACTGCAATGCCTTATTTCACACAAGAGGGCGCAGCCCGCCATGCTTTCCCCGCCAAACTCACACTCCATCGACCTTGATCGACCCTGCACCATCAGTAACTACACTATTGATGTCGCCCTGCGCTCTTTATCCCCCCCAGACAAAGCACACATGCATGACGCAGTCCTCCAGTGATCAGAGTCCCTATTTGAGCATGATCACACGGACCCTGGTGCTCAGTGCAGCTGGCAGCGCCCGCACGTAGCGCTCTTGCAGATACAGGAGGAGATGCGAAACATTGGGCTCTCCTCGTCCCCACAGCCATGCCGCCCCTCCAAATCACCCTGCAACGGGTTCCCTATTTGTTGGGCTGTCTTGACACTGCACTCAGGAGCCCACATGGGCAAATGCCGTGTCCTCATGTGTCTGCAACAGATGCGTAGTCAACGCACGCAAGGCACACGTGAATGCCGCCCTGTGGCTGATGGCGACAACTGCAAATGATTAAAGCAGTGGACATGGATGCTGGCAGGATCTTGCAATACTCTCAGTAGAAACGCCAAATGAGGGTGTAGCAGAATGATGCTCTACCAATGCATTGGAGCGGTTAGGTTGCGCTGGGTGGCCTGGCCTAAACCAAGGCGGTGTGTAGGGGAATCTCCTGCCAAAATCGCACACATAGCCGAAATTCGTGTGTAGGCATCACACGTATCTGTGCATAGGAACCTGCCCCAAACCTGCATGACGTACAATGCTGCCCACTCAGTAGTTACTGTATGTCATCCAGGTGGCGGGGAAGGTGCTCACGAAGCTGCTATCACTTGGGTGTACCACCCCGCCGCGGCACAACCATGGTACGTGTGTATGCGCTGGTGTATAGCTCAGCTGATTCAGAGAATACCAGCAGCCTTGATACATCATGTGCTTGACAGTTGCATTTCAAATTTGGCGTAGGTGATCTCCTACCGGTACGCCGTGATGAGCTCTCAGCGTTACGGAGTGATGCATTTGGCATCATCACAGCAGACACACTCCTCCCTGCTGCAGGCCAGCATGAGCCAGCCCTCGTTCCTGGGCCAGCCAGGACCGTTCTCGCAGCAGCAGCACGGGACTATGGGACGAGCGCAGACACCGCTCTTAAGGTCACAGATGCCATCATTTCCACAGGTGGCGCATGTGACGTGGGCCCGACATGCCATTGTCGTGCCGACGCTGTGCCCGCTTTGCATGAGCTGTCTCTGATTGGGCGCATGCGCCCCATGTGCCGCTGACGCCCCCGCATGCGCATCCCACCTACCCTTTTCGTGCCGGCCCTCCGCACGCCTGTTAGGGCCAGCCCTTCGGGTCCGCAAGCGCCGGCTTCTCCCAGCCGCTCAGCGGCGTCGCCGGCGGCACGCCCGCCCTTGGCCGCCCATCCTCAGCGCCGCAGCCCCTGCAGATCGCGCCCTCCAGCTCTCAGCAGACCTACGCCCCCACATGGTCCCAATCCCAGCCGCAAGACGATTGGTATGCGCCACCGCCCGCTCTGCCCCTGTCCGTCGCCGCGCTGCGCACGGGCGGCAGCCGCGCGCGCCAGGCCGGCCCCATGCTGTCTGACGGGCGCCCCAGCTCGGCGCCCGACCCGCGCCAGCTCACGGGGGGCGGCGGTTTGGCGGCGGCGCGCGGGGCCGCGGCTGCGGCAGCTGCCGGGGCGCGCTCTCTGCTGCAAGATGCCCAGGCGGCGCCCCGCGTGCACAGGCCCGCGAGCGCGTCTGCCGACGACGGCCGCGGGCGCTGCGCGCCTGGCCGCCCAGCATCGTCTGGCCGCCTCGACGGCGCTGACGCGCACGCGCCAAGCAGCCGAGGCGGCGCCGCGGGCTGCGAGGCGCTGGATGCGGCGGTGGCGCAGGTGGGGGTCCGCTTGGGCGTGATCGAGGAGCGCTGCGCCCGCCTGGCAGACGGCGTCAGCGACATACAAACCGCACTGGCGCGGCAGCTGGCGCGCCTGGAGGGGGTCGGCGGCGCATGTGACGGGGTGCAGGCCAGCGTCGAGCGCCTGGTGGGGGCGGTGGCAAGCATTGGTGAGAGCATGCAGCAGCTGCTGCTGCGCCGCGAGGAGGGGCGCAAGGCGGCGCCGCCGCCATGGAGGGGCGCATACGACTGCGTGGACGCGGCGTGCCAGACGGCCAACATATGGGGGTCCGGCGGCTCGCCACCTGCTGCGTTACCTCGCACGGTGGTGGCCACGCCGCCGTCGGCCAGTGGACGGGGCGCAGGAATGGCGCCCGCTGCACGGCTGCCACGCGCAGTGGGCGGCGCAGGCGCCCCTGTCGGCAATACCCTGACAATGACCCTGCGCACCCGCAGCCCCAGCCCTGCGCCCTCACGCACGCCGTCCGGATCACAGAGACAGCAGGTCAGCGGCGGCGGCAGCGGCGGCAAGGGCGTGCAGCCTGCACCTCCAGCAGCCGGCGAGGGTAGCGGAGGCGGCGGCCACCCTGTGTCCGCAAAGAAGCGCCCTGGCGGCCGCGGCGCCCGGCTGCTGCAGCAGGCGGCCAGCATGCCCGGCCAGCGGCTGCTGTGCTTCCTGCCTGCCGCGGCGCCGGCGGCGGCCGCGGCTGCGGCCGCGACCACGCCGCTGCCGCGCGGGCCGCGGGACGCGCCGACCGGCATGAACAGCGAGATTCGAGAGGTCCTGCGCACGATCCAACAGATGCCCCAGACGCAGAGCGCCGGGGCCCCCAGCCGCAAGCGCGGCAGCCCCGACGCATCCGCTTTCATCACTGCCTCGGCCGCGGCCGCTCACCTGTCGCCGTGCGGCGGCGCCGCCGCCCTTCACTTCAGCAGCGACCGGCGGGCCTCGTTCAGCGGCGGCAAGGGCGCCGGCTGCGGCCGCGGCGGCGATGGCAGCGATGACAAGTACCGTGTCATCGGCGGCGCCCGCGGCTGCTGCAGCGGCGACGAGGAGGACGAAGAGGAGGAGGAGGAAGACGAGGAGACGATCGAGCGGCGCCTGGCGGCGCGCATCGCAAGTCACCGCTCCAAGCGGCTGCGGCGCCTGATGGGGGCCGTGCCTGCGGCCAGCCAGCCCCGTTGGCTGGTGTAATGCCAACAGCTGTGTACCAACGGAACAAGCAGCAGTGTGTGTCATGGGCTTCGCTCGTGAGGCCTTGCCAAGTGGCAGCTGAGAGGGAGCTTGCCACTCCGCCGCTGCAGTGCGGATCATGCGCCTGCGCTCAGCGCATGCAAACGCTCTGCTGGCTGGGGCGCCCTACTCAAAGCTGTGGCAGCCTGGCTTGTCCTCAAAAATCGAGCACTACAAATCCGTTCACTATAAATTGAAAGCCATGGCTATTGTAACTGTGTGGCCTCGCCTTGTGGCACAGGGAAGTACACCTGGGTGACGCTTTCCTGTGTGCCCTGACCAGAACGCTATAATGTGCTGTGTAGCAGCCAACACCACCAGCAGAAAAACCACACCTGCTTTGCTGACTTTGCAAGGTGGCTGAGGTTGTCGATAAGAGGCAGGTTCCCAGGCAGTTATTACATCGGTTCAGGCAGCCGGCACGCGCCCGCTGCATGCGGCCCAAGGGAGTCCAGCACCCAAGGGTACAGGCGAGCAAATCTTCTGGCACAAAGTACACCGCAGGGACGGCTGGATGAAAACAGGGGGCGCGCCGTGACAATAGGCCGTGATCAGGTAACTGTAAAGTACAAGCCAGCGACACTGCTGGCCAGGAAAGGTATGCGCACGCGCAACCAATGGAGTAGAGCGGCACAGCGACAGGGTTGAATGTTTCAAGACCGGGGGAGCGTGGCCTGTGTAGCCCAGCAAGAACAAGCTGGGAGTTGCCATGCAGGCGGCAATCCACCGCCTCTTGCTGGGCGTTGGCGCATGGTGATGGGCTCCCCTGCTGGCCGGACACCCCTGGCAGCCACAGGACGGCGGCGCCGCAAGTTTGCTGTTTGGTGCAGCGCCCTGCACAAAAAAATTGCTCCTTTGAAGCATCGACACCCGCGCCGCCCTGCGCCACAGGGCCCCGATCACCAAACGACGCCGCAAGGGAGGCGGCGACAACCGCGCCTGTGCGCGGCCGCCGCGCACAGGCCCGCCTTAGTCGCTGCGCATGCGCATGCGCGTGGCCATGCCGCGCCAGCAGATGAGGGTGATGAGCATGGCCACGCTGACCTCCAGCTGCGGGCTGAGCATGCCGTCACGCTTCAGCTCCAGCACAGTCTCGGGGGCCACCAGG